CCGGGTTGGTCCAGTAGCGCCCAGTGCGGCGCTACGGGACCAACCGGCAGCGCCCCAGCTGCTGTACCACAGGCGTCCGGAGCAAAGCCACGGAGCACGGGGGCAGCGGAACAGCCCAGACGCGCCGTGGCTATCCTGCTGTCCTCGGGCTCCGTGGCTTTGCTCTGCTTTGCTCCCAGTCCCCCTGGTCTGCAGACCACGGAGAAAGGGAAGCAAAGCGGCAGAACACGCGGGCAGCGGACAGCCCAGACGCGTCTGGGCTGTTCGCTGCCCGTGTGTTCCGCCACTTTGCTTCCTCTCCCTGGTCTGCTGGAGACCAGGGAGAGGGAGGGCCCCGTTCGTAACTGCGGATCCGACGTAAGTCGGATCCGCGTAACTCAGGGACTGCCTGTATACTCCTTGTTCAATCAATTCCTAAAACAAACAAGTTTGTTTGCATTTACAAGAGATAATGAATCCGCTATTTATTTACATTACCTGAAAGTGAGAATAGGCATTCAGATGGCATTTTGTAGCTGTCATTGCAAGGTATTTCAGTGCCAGATATGCTAAATATTCATATGTCCCTTTATACTTCAGCCACCATTCCAAAGGTCAGGCTCCTGCTATTGATGCTCATTAAAATAATGTATTAATTAAGTTTATTATTGAGCTCCTCGGGAGAATTTTATGTCTCTTGCTCTGTATTTTACCCACGTTATGTCATATATCTCATGTTATAACAGTTACAGATGATGCCCCAGCATGTGTTCATTTTAAGAACACTTTCACTGCTGATCTGACAAAATGCAAGTAAGATGATAATGTGAAATTTCTAAAGAGAACTACAGCAGTCAACCCAGTTTAAGAATCTGAAGTGCCTTCCAAAATATGAGAGGGATGAGGTATAGAGCATGGTTTCAAAAGTTTAAAAGGACAACTCCCTGATGTAGAAACTACAAAGCATGAACCACCAAAAAACCCATCAACCTTCTGCTGGAAGCATCTGCCTGAGATGATGAAAATAAATATACCTAAGTTCTATTGCTTTGGATTATCAAGCAGAACCCATTTCAGCCTAGACACATGTCCTCTGGAATAGTGATTAAAGCATGAAGAGACTTTTGAATCTTTAGCACATCTGGTGTGTAAATCTCTTGTGATGATAGATACAACAGTGCTATGTTAATGCCTATTTCTCATTTTCAGGTGACACTGTAAACAAGTAGACATCCTTCTCTCTTTCAAATATAAACAAACTTATTTGTCTCAGCAACTAGCTGAACAAGAAGGAGGACTTATAAGCTCTAAAATTTTACATTGCTTTATTTTTGAGTGCAATTATTCTTGGTACATAATTCTACCTTTTTAAGTTCAGCTTCCACGACAAAGAGATTGTGGTACAGTACTTGTATTATGTTAAATTAAATATTTTTGGTTTTTTACAGTGAAAATTTTTGTAATAAAAATATGAAATAAGCACTGTACACATTGTATTCTGTTTTGAAATAGCAATCAATATATTTTAAAATGTAGAAAACATCCAAAAATATTTTAATATATGTTATTCTATTATTAACAGTGTGATTAATCACAAATAAGTTTTTGTAATCGCGTGACAGACCTACCCACAATGTCATATTTCAATGTCACTTTCAAAGAAGAGTGTCTCTTTAAGGGTTCAGAAAGCAGGTGGATTTTTTTTTCAGCATTTTTATTTACCTGTCTGTGTTTCTAGTTTTAAAACTTTCAACAATCCATCTTCTCCACCACAAGCTATGAAACCTTGTTCCTTGTTCCAAGATATACATCTTAGTCGAACGTTACCAGGAATTGCAATCTGAAAGAAATAAATATTTTTCATTTGGACTGATTAATAATAACAACAATGTTTTATTTTGAAAATACCCCAACCACAAACATTAAGCAAATGCACTTGGGATATTGTGCATCATAATATAAATTGCTATAGTAACTTAACAGAATTGTAAACACATTACTAGAATTAAAGTTGAGAGAATACTGTAAAGGCCATTTACATAAAATTAAACAAACCAAGATAATCAAATACAAGGGAGGGAAAGTGTAATAATTATAATCAATAAAAATAGGACATTTCTTAACATCTATTGTAGAGGGTCTACTTATTTATCTTTTGAGCAATCTGAATCCTGGTGGAAGGTGCCAAACACTAGGGGAGAAAGGGATAATGACACTGAGAATTTACTTATGTTGGAATTACAAGGGTCTTTCTAGAGCAGTGGTTTTCAAACCATCTACGTGCAAGAATAAATGTGTACAAGGAGGAATGTACAGATATGCACCACCAACAGAAACACATGCTGTGAGCACACTGCTAAGCAGGTGGGCAGCATTTGAAACTCTCCTGGGTGGCCATCCAAGCACTCAGCTTACAGGGAATGTTGCTAAGTCCCGTCACTTAGAGCGGTTTGCCTAGATTCCCCCTCCTTTCAGCAGTTAGTGCCTAGCACATCCCTTACTGACTCTTAATTAGAGACAAAAGCGAAACACCAATTGAGCTTGACTTGGGTTTAGCTCAGTTACAAGTAATGGTAAATCTTGATTGACTTATCAGCACAAACCCCCAAATGCCTTTTTTTCCTCAATAATAGTGTAAAATAGTGTATTTTTCCTCAATAATAGTGTATAAACCCTCGATTAGTGCATGGGTTATGGGAGACCCACGTTCAATTCCCCAGGCTCTGACAGAGGAGGAGCGAGCATTTGAACAAGGGGAACAGGACCAGGCCCGTACGCGGGAGCGGGAAGGGGCGAAAGCACGTCCCCATGGTCTCCCAAGTAAGCACGCTCCCGCAGGCCAGAGGCAGGCAGCCCCAACCTCCCTCCCCCATGCTCTGGCCGGCCGGGGGGAGGCTGGGGCTGATTTCCCGCTTAGTTGGGGACCGCGGGCGATGCAGTCACATCCTTGCGGGACACGGACACACACACACACACACACACACCACCTCCCCCCCGAAATTCCTGCCTAGGGCCTGAGGACGCATGTGGAATTGGGGTTCACTGCAGGAAGGCTGAGGAAATATCTGCGGTGAGGAAAGCCCCTGACAAGTAACTAGGAGGGGAAGGCCTCGTGCAAACGGTAAGTTATTTCCTGGCCAGGCCCGAAGGAGCGAGGTCGGCTCCGGCCGCAGGACGGGCTCGCTGACACTCACCTTTTTGCTCAGGTAGATGAACATGCTGCGGGGCCAAGGGGGAGGGGCTCAGCCCGGCGCGATTGTTTGGGGAGGGAGCGTGTTAGCGGCCTGCCGCTGCCTCCGTAGCAACCGGGCTTCCTTGGCAACCGACGCCGGACTCAGCCTGCCCCGGAATCCAACAGCTTCACTTCCGGGGCGGAGCCGCGACTTCCGGGTTTTGCCCCACGGTGGGGGCCTGGCTCCGCAGCGATGAGCCAGGACGGGACGCTCTCTTGGGTGCTGCTGGCCCCGCCTCCCTACGGGTCTCCGAGAGGGAGGCTTCCCTGCCCAAGTCCGCGGGCTCTGACTCCCCTTCCGCTCAAGTCAGGCACCGGTCTTAGGACCCCGCTGAGAGCGCGGCTCAGCCGGGACTGCCCCCCCCCCCCCGCTGTTTCGCACTGTGGCCGCGGGCCGAGCCGAGTCAGGAGTAGGGATGACGCACCCCGTGCGATGGGTTAACCAGTTCAACGTGGAGCCCCCATGGTGGTTGGGATGGAGCTGCCCACCAACTGGACCCGGTACGCATCACCCCCTGCTTATAGGCGAACCTGCCACAGCCCGAGTCAGGAGCGAGGTGTAGTGCAGCCTGGACGCATTAGCAGGGCTGTGGGACGGGCTGCCCATTTGGAGCCCAGCTGTGCAATGCCATGTGGCCCTTTCAGCACATGTAATGTGTACGCTGAGCCCACGAGCCTGGGTTTCACAGACCCATGCCTAATGTGCAGCACATACAAACATTTCTAACTTAGAGCGTTTCATCTCAAGACAAACATCCACACCGACAAAACATCAGACATTAGGGGGGGTGTATAGGCAAAAAGTGAAACCGCTCCGTTTTTGTGACGGTCACAGTTTCTGTCAAACAAACATGACATTATGCTCAGTGCACCCAAAGTAGCAAATTCGGAGAAGTTAGTGTTTTGCTCACTACAGGGGAAGAAGTGAGCCAGAAATGGCTCCCTGCACTGATCTCTCCTTTCCCTCAGCTGGGACAGCCTTGCAGGGACACACCCTAGCACAGCACAGCAGCAACAGCCTCCCCAATCCCTATCAGAGCATAGTAGGTTCCTTTGGTGGTCTCTGGACAGGCAGCTGGGCTGGCTTTCAGTGGTGCATGGTTTCCAAAGCAGATTGGAATGTGGAGTCTGGATTCAAATCTAGATTGGAGCATTCCCTGAGTTCCAGCCCAGTGCATGCTGCTGCCCAGCGAGTCCCCACCACTGCGTGCTGTGTGGCCCCCTTCAGCCTGCTGCAGGACTGCCTTTGGCACATGGGGTCCCCAATCTGGCTCTGCCACCATTCCTCCTCCTTCTCCGTGCTGCATGTACAGGCAGTCCCCGGGTTACGTACAAGATAGGGACTGTAGGTTTGTTCTTAAGTTGAATTTGTATGTAAGTCGGAACTGGTACATATTGTAGGGGAAACTCTAGCCAAACATTTCTCCAGAGCTCAGTTTTATTCTCCCACACCTCACTTCCCTCAGTCCTTTATTCTCAAGATGAGGTGTCTGCTGAGAAAAGCCGCTCCACCTCTCCCTGGTCTGCTGGGCGGGGGGAGGGGGACGCGCTAGCTTCGCATCTCCCTAGTCTGCTGGGGGGAAGTAGCTAGTGCGGGGTTGCCTCACCCCGTTTGTAAGTAGGGATCCGGTATAAGTCGCATCCATGTAACCCGGGGACTGCCTGTACTATCACAGTTTGATTCAGATGTAGGTCAGTGCCAAAATTTATCAGGGTTTTTTCTACAATTTTCTGGTCCAACTATATCTCTAGCTGTTTCTAGTTAATATATTTTTTTATTTATTACTATTGTTGTTATTATTATCATTATTATTATTATTATTTATTTATTCGTTATATAAGAGGCTCAGGGGATAGGAGACTGAGAGGACCATACCAAATTCATGGGGGGGGGCAGCGGGCGTGGGGAGGCACTTTTCCTCTGCCCGGCAGCTCTGCGGGACCCCAGTCGGAGCCGGCCCGAGGAGGAGGAGGATCCTAGGACCCAGGTGAGCGAGCCCCGGGAATGCTGCTGCGCATGTGCGGGAGTTGCCTCACCCCGTTCGTATCTAGGGATCCGACGTAAGTCGGGGACTGCCTGTACTTTGTTACCCCGGCCGCTGCTGCCAGGGCGGGTCCAAGGCAAAACCCAGGGGAGTTGCTCTGGCAGGGACTGCAGAGCCCAGCTTGAGTGCACTCAGGTCCAGAAGGTGTGCCCTGTGCACTGCCGATCTCTCTCCCTGAACCCCTCCTTACCACACTGGGGGAACAGCAGTACATGGAGCAGCTTGCTCTACTTCACAAGCTGGGTCTGGCAGGAAAGATTGGGGCTTTCTTCACTACCCCCATGTTCCCTCCAAGCGGGGAGCTGGTGCTGCAGCCTCACGGCTGTGCTGAGAGAAGGGTGTGGGCTAAGCTTCACCCTCTCTCCCCCCCACCTCAACCCCCCTGGGGGAACAGCAGCGAGCTGTCCAAAAGCTTTCCTGCTGCAAGGGGTGCTAAGCCAGATAAGCACCCTTCCTTATGCTCAGACCCCTGCACCACAATTTCTCTCACCCCTCCGCTCACCAAAACCCCATACCCCTAGCATGCTCCAACAGGCACCCTCCTTTGCTCCTGCACCTTCCCCCATGGTCAAACTCTGCACCCTCTCTTGTTCCTGCTCTCTTCATGCTAGCCAAACACCCTCGCTCCTGGCTAGACACCCTTTCCCCAGTTCATTCCTGCCTCCTCCCTCGTGGCCAGACACCCTACCTCTAGTCTGCTCCTGCACCCTTCCCCCAGCTAGACACCTACCTCCACTCTTTTCCTGCATCCTCCCTTGCTCCTGCTCCCTCCCCCTAGCCAGACACCCTAGTCGCAACCTGCTTCTGCACCCCACCTCCTTCCCAGATCTCATACTCCATCCCAATCCCACTTGCTGACAGCCCTGCCCTGAACACTGAACCCCTCATTTTTGTCCCCACCCCATAGCATAAGGGGTCCATAAAAATCCACTAACTCCAGAACCTGAGAAAAATAAATCTGGCTTGTGGGAAACACTCCCTGTCCCTTCTCAGCCCATAAGGCTGGAGTGACAGAGAAGTAGGGTGTCTCGGTTGGGGGCCACATCAGTTGGGGGTTTTAGGAGGATTTTTTTTTTTTTTTTTTGCTTTTCACTTGTATGGTCCCCAACTGATTTTTCTGTGGGTCAGAGACCTGACACCCAAAAAAGGTTCCCTACCTTGCGCCATAAATAAAGAAAACCTTAAAACCTTGTGTTGAACATAAATTTATTTTATTTAAAATGAAGTGTGATAAAGTAACATGAGTTAAAATGCTTAATCTGTTTATGATAATTAAACAGTTCTCCCTAGCTGCAGTACTAGCAAAATGGCTTGGGCATAATTATGTAAGTAATGTTAAGTTTCCATTAGCAACTGTTGGTCTGTGGAAAGGTTTATATTGATCCAGGTGGTCCCCGGGCCAAAGTTTGAGAACCACTGAAATACAGGTACCCCCAGCCTCTCTCCCCAAGGGACTGCCCTGGGCTTCCTACTGCTCCACAAGAGCCCCCAGAGTGGGGATCTGTTACCACAGTGGTAAAATCACCATGTCACAGTGGTATGGATGATGGACAGACTCTTTATGAGTCTTCCTCATCCAAGCAATTGATGATTTAAACAACATGTTAAGATGCCATGTGAAAACACTTGGTACATCCACACAGAGGCAGGATGTATCATCTCTCTCCAGAGAGGGTTGTCATGACTGGTGTGCCTGGGTAAACAAGCCCTTTGTGAGCTCTGCGAAGAGGTGAGAAGTTTTGACTTCCAGTTTCAAGGGATTTGTGCTTCTGTCTTTGGGCTGCATGTTGCCTAGACCTGAATGGAGTTAGCTATGACAATGCATTTCTGAGTTATTTTGGCACACAAAGTGAAACCTGTGCTAAAAACTCCACGTCCACTGAGAGAAATCACTGTTGTCAGAAGTCATCAATTCAAAGCCTCTCTAATTTTTTTTAAAACATCACCTCTACTGAGCAGTAGGGCTTCTACTGATTGGTCCCTTATATTTTTGAATGGAGACTATAGGTATATCTACACTGCAGTTTTTCCAGAAAAACAGCCATTTTTCCAGAAAAACTTAGTCCACACTGCAATTGCAATCTTTCAACAGAAAGGGGCAAGAACACATTGGTTTTTCCAACAGCAGTAAACCTCTTTTATGAGGAAGAAGCCTTTTACCAAAAGAGCTCTCTGGGAAAAGGCATGTGTGGATGGGGAAGAGGAGTTATTTTCGAAAGAGGTGACCTTCAGGAAAAAGCACAGGTGCTCTAGTGCCCACATTGATTGGACACTATCTTTCAAAAAAGCAGATCACTTTTTCGGTGCACTGTGTGGACACACTTTCAAAAAGTTTTTCCAGAAGAGAGCTTCTGGAAAAACTTTTTGAAAATTTCCAGACTGCAGGCTTAAGTGTTAACTGGATCTTCTTGGATAATGTCTACAAATTGATTTGGTCCCAATCCTAGGTTAAAGTTTAAATTGGATCAGGTGGGTCCTTTGTAAGCAGGTTGGGACATGGTCTCATTTGGCAATTAGGTAATTATTTACATAATGTAGATATTGACATCTCAGTAGCTTTATATATAAAATAACCCAGCCCTATTGACCTCCATGGAAAATGTACCTTTCAAGCAGTGGTGGTGACCGTTAGTGACATGGTTTTCCCCAACCTGTAATTATGGTTAGTTCAGTATTGTCATTCTGGCTTGTGGAAAGAGGATACTTGATAGTTTTGCAGTAACTTTAAAAAAAATGAAGTTGCAGTGCATCTCATTGCTGCCCTGGACAAGAGCAACTCTGTCTACAGTAGGAATGTAAGCAACTAATCAACTAGTCAACTATCCGATAAGCAAAAGCTTATTGGATAAACTAGTCACTTCCCTTGCTGCCTGTGAATGAGGGGGGTGGAGGGAAGAGAGAAGAGGAGGGAGTGCTGGGGGGGAGGTCAGCTTAAAAGCTGGTTCCCCCCAGCTCTGTGGGAGGGGGCAGTGGCAGCATTCAGTCCCTGCTCATGCTGTTTCCCACCATGCCTCTACCTCTCCTGCCCCCCACCAAGATGCTGCTGAGGGGAACCAGCTTTTAAGCTGGCTTCCACCAGCTCCTGCTCCTCCATTGCTGCTTCTCTCTGATAGAGGCAGGGAGGGAGGGCCGGGGGGAGAGGAGAAGAGGGAGAACTACTAGTCACATCACTAGTCAACTGTCTGATAAGCTTATGCTTATCTGATAGTTGACTAGTCACTTACATCCCTACTTCCAACATTAATGTGCTGATTTTATTAAAATAAGTTACAATATCCAAAAATACAGCCCCATTTAATGGATAGATATGGCACGAGCATTAAATTTTCACTCTACATTGAGCTTTTCCATGCTTTTATTACATATCCAGTAACAAGACAGGTTTATTTTTTCCTGTATTTACTTTAACAGGGAATAAAAAAGCTACTAAAAAACAGCACATACAATATGCGGTACAAAAATATAGCTGGTTTCAATTTAAGGATGCGTTGTGATTACCATATTCTAACATCCCCCATGGGACACTAGTTTTATCATCAAGATCATTGCATTCCTGGAGGTCTTGCTGTAGCAACTGTTGTGTCAAACTGAGCATCACGCTAGCTTGGCTAAGCAGCTTCAAAAATTATTTGCTTTTGAGTGCCAGAGGAACATTTCTAGATCGGCTCCTGTTTGCAGCAGCTTCTTGGGCACATCATCTAGTGGTTAATTATTAATGGTAATGTAATTAGCAGCTAGAGTTCTTGATAAAATTCCAATTTACATACATTCTCAACTGCATATTTTGACAAAAATGCCTTTCTAGATATATAAAGGTTTGAACAGCAGCAGATCTGGCGATCTCCAAGCACTTTAAAAAAAAACAAGTAAGGTCTGCAACACCTCTGAATCCCCTTTTCTTACAGAGCTTGAGTCTCCTACTAAGTATTGAGCTGAAATCTTGACTTTAATGGAAGCCACAAGTACTCAGTGATACATAAAGTCTACTTTAACAGGAAGTTATAGGTTCAAGCTGTAAGTCTACTAGAAACCCTGGCCAAAAACATTAAAGCTTATTCAGAAGCTGAAACCATGTCCTTTTTTACAACAGTACCTCAGAGATAGTGGTCTGATTTCTGAAGGACCTACTAGTATTTGGGGGAGAAGCTGTAGATTTAGCAATCTTCGCCTTATATTTAAAATATTTATATTCTCTGGGATCACTGGTATCTTGTGAAAAATAGGAAAGTGCATGAGACTCAATGTGGGCAGGGGACAGGATTTCAGATTAGAACCACTTTTTGTAAGGCCTATTTTGTTGCAGAACAGGTGGCATCAGCCCTGATGTCCTTGGTAAATGTTTTCATTTGGGCTCTGATCCTGAAACCAAAGCCTGGTTTACCCTTACAAATTATTAGTTGCCATATAAGCCTTAGGTTTTTTATTTTTGCTCTTATGTCTTATCTTTTGATTGATCCTAAAAATCCTGAGAGAGTAAGAGTTACTTGAACAAACATCCTTAGCCCAGAACTAGACTTTTCATGTCTCTCCTCAGTTGTTAAAGTGTCTAATAGGTCTTTGTATAGATAAATATAGATCTAATAGATCAGTGACAGAATATTTTCATCTCTCATTTGGTACCCATCACCTTTCCCAAAGGTGAAATGAAACCAAATTAGTTCAATAGTTAAACTGCGGGGGCAGAGGACTGAGGGAGAAAGACTCTTATGGTTAACATTCAGCAGGGCACAGAAATAACTAGAAAAAATGTTCAACTGCTCCTAACTTGGCAGAATTGAGACAGATGCAGGCTATCAATATGAAGGCTCAAAACTGGACATCTGCTATCATCCTTACTTCATCTGTTCTAATCATCAAGCTTGGAACGTGTCAGTGCCTTCAGTACCACCAGTGTCCCTTTTGGGAATTTACATACATGATAAGTTAGTCCTCTTGGGTTATAAAGGTGTGGGTGGGACGTAGGTACAATAAGTCATCTAGTCATACTTGGGAAAGAAGGGGTATAAGTTAGCAAGAATGAGGGTAGTGAGATCCAAGATGAAGGTAAAGGCGAATTTGTGCAACCATGAACATGACAGAGGATCTCAAACTTTTTATACCCGTCTCAGAAAATTTGGGCAGGGCACACAGGAAGAGCAAAAGCATGAAATCAAACGTGAGGATTTTTTTTTTTTTTTTTTTTTTAAGTGGAAGCAATAGAGAAGAATATCCCCTTATTCTACATTTCAGCTTACTGGAAGGCTATACCCACATTTTCATAGATATGAAAGGTTGAGATTAAGGAGAATGCAAATTTAATTACATGGTCATTTTGATTAGCATCCTCAACTTTCTCCTAGGTCACGTGACGCAAAAGAGATTCTTTCCCACCTACAAGTGAGCACAATACAAAAAGTTTCCTTAGATCAGCACTAGATGACCAAATCAGTAAGCAATTTGGGAACTTCTCTCCCCACTAGCCCAAACACAGTCAACACTACTAGTAAACATTTCTTAAAAGATTTATTAAAGTATCATTTATCACAGAGAAAATATACACATTAGAAGCATGCAACCATCTCCTCCCACATTTAAGTAATACCGTGTGCATTTTTTTCTTGCATTCACAGCATGTTATAAAACTTCAAACATTAGTGTCAACTTCACTCTTCCTGAAATTGTTTCAAGGCAATAGATAACAAAAACAGTAAGGTAAGAATGTAGGAGAAAAGTGCAAAGTAAAAAAAAATATATATATACACACCACGTTCAACCCTCCCTCCCAGCCTTGTTCCTCAAAAAAAGTTAAAGAAAGGCAAACTCATTCTGCTGGTAGATCAGATTGTCTTTATGAACTACTTTACAAAAATTTCTCTACAATTTAAGGGCCCAACCAGCAGACACGTATGCCTATGGCATATTTTACTCATGAGTTGTTCCACTGAATTACATGAGTGAAATAGCTCATGTTTGCAGAAGACCCTAAGGCAGTAAACATGTATAAGATCATTAGAAAAGGAAGGAGAAGGAAAAAAAGGAAAGAAAAGTCACTCCGAGATGTGTTTTGCTTAGTAGTTATATCAAATATCTTTCAACAGAAAGGTTTGCTCCTAAAGCCCTGAATATTTTAAGCAATTTTGCAAGATTAAAAAGAAAAAAAATCCAAGAAGTTGATACAGATGTTAACCAATGGAAGCACAGTTGCTTCAGGCAGGTATGTAAGGAGGTGGGGGTTCCTTCTCAGGCATCTTCACTGCCATTTCATAGGTTGGCAGGACATACTAGATTAAAAACAAAACAAAAACAAAACACAGTAAGGTTAACAGACTGCAGAGTCCTTTAGAACAGGCGGTATCAATTTGATTCTCTATTGTGGGCAGATTTTAGAGCAAAACTCACAGCAAACAATACCAGCGCTGCAAAAGCAGCTTATTCTTCTGCTGAATCTAAACTTCAGCCACTACCTCTATTCAGTTTTCATCCTTATCTAGTGAACAGCAAAGGAGCTAGTAAGGAAACAATTTTGCCTTCCTTTCTCCCCCCCCCCAAAAAAAAATGAGTCAAAAAACTAGAATTTTAATTTTAAACTTCTTTGTTGAAAAGACTTTGTCAAAACAGACAAATTTTTCCAATTGAGAGTTATGATCATAGAATACTAGGACTGGAAGGGACCTCAAGAGGTCATCAAGTCCAGTTCCCTGCCCTCATGGCAGGACCCGGTACTGTCTAGACCAGTGGTCCCCAACCTTTTTGTGGCCAATAGCACATTCATGTTTTCAGAAGTGTGTGGTGGGTGCCAACAAAAAAAGGCGTCAAATGTGAAATTGAAGGCTATTTCATATTAAATGTGAATTGGGTAAATGTGATAAAAACTTAATTTAGTTGGATAATTTTTATTTTAATTATATTGCAATTCATTTTTAAACAAAATTCTGCATTAATCAAAAGGGGGGGTGTCCAAATGTTGAGCAAAAAAAGCACCCTCTCCCCAAAAAAAGTCATGGCACCTTTAAATTTCTCACACCCTTCCACATGGCAGGGGAAGAATGTCCCAAGTGGCTTTCCAGCTGAGAAACTGAAAATACCAGACATTTTACTGGGGGTGTATTGCAATTCATTTTTAAACAAAATTCTGCATTAATCAAAAGGGGGGGTGTCCAAATGTTGAGCAAAAAAAGCACCCTCTCCCCAAAAAAAGTCATGGCACCTTTAAATTTCTCACACCCTTCCACATGGCAGGGGAAGAATGTCCCAAGTGGCTTTCCAGCTGAGAAACTGAAAATACCAGACATTTTACTGGGGGTGGGGGTGTCAGGCCAGGGGTTTGGATTGTGCCTCAGGGCAGGGGATTGAGGTGCAGGGTCTGGGAGGAGAGTTCTGTGGGTGAAGATATCAGAGTGGGAGTAGCTGGGGGGCTGGACACTTACCAGCGAGACGCGCTGCTCTCCTGTTTCTCCTACAGGACCTGCCTGGCCATGTGCTTGGGGATTGGTAGGTTTCTG